ATAATTAATAATTCAAATATACTCCACCTATTTTATTTTCATAAAATGTATTTCATAAGAGCCTTTGATATCATTCTTCATTTTTTGCACTTAATTTCTGTAAAGGATTAAAACTATAAAACATTCAGTATTTTACTCCTTTCAACACGCACATATGTATAAACGAGTGCACTTTAATAGATACTTTACAGTTAATGGGTATTAAAACATTGTTACAACCGCAAATATCTTACCCCGATTGGAATAACAACAATTCCTAATATAAAGTAATATACAAAAACAACTTATGGAAAATCGTGTTATTGAAAGGATATAATCATAATTATTACGACTACAACCTCACACACATTTTTATTAGTTTCTTCGTATAGGAAATCTTTAATGAAAACTTCAAAAATAAAACAATTTTATTTTTCATTAATGCATTCTAAATCCATGCAGTGATTAATACACAGCACGTTATTACAATGGTTATTCGTAATAGCTATGACACGTGTCATATACATACATAAGGCCTTCAACTTTCTAAATACGTATATTACATATTTATAATTTCTAAATATATTTGTGTTATTGTTCTCCAAAAAAAAAAGACATAAATACATACAAATATTATGTATTTTAAAAGCTGCACAGTGTTTATCAAGTCTTTGGCAGTATTGTGTTGTGACGGTTGCAGTTATTGATTTTACACTGAAGAAAAATCTAACTAAAACTTTGTGTAATTTATTTTATCAGAAAATCCCCTTTAAGTATTAGTTTAAAGATATTATTGAACAATATATTAAACGCTTCAAACCCAAATTTAATTTAAAATATAAGATGCACGTTATATAAAAGGTAAATTTAAGTATTTATAAGCAGGCATGTTCATTTTAATATATATCATTGTTAATATATTGTCAATTATTTCTGCGTATACATATATTATTTTTTGTAAACTAAATGACATACAAAATGTCTACAAGAGCTTAATATATTCTCCATGCGACTCCATGCTGTATAAAATTTTAAAATAATATTTATTGTTGAACTTGTGTGTACACATGAACTGGTTGAAAATAAGGGAAAATTTTGTAAAAGCATATAAGCTGAAATAAAAAGAATTTCCCCAATTTCGCAATGAAAATCTTGCATAGATATTTGACCTGAAATAAAATGATTATCCATCAAGCAAATAATTGTACAAATATATATGTATGTCTACAACATTAAATATTTTTTAATACAAATTTAAAAACAAAAATAATTAACATTAAAATTTACATAAGTTGATTATGTACATATACACACACCTATGTATATTGAAAATTTAACCCATTAAACTTTTCCAATCATATTTATTTAAAACAATTTTTTTTAAATAAATTAAATAAATTTAATAAACTAAATTAATCAAAATTTTTAAGTAATTAATTAAGAACAGCTTGTACATCCATATTACATACAACCATAATTAATTAATAATTACTAACGCTCATATATTATCAATGTAGTTAATTTATTATTCCAATTAATTTTATTTAAACACATTCTCCTATAAACATTGTTGTCGTTTTATAATTGGGTATTATAACAACAACACTCTATACAAGATTATAAAGTTGCTCAACATTATTGCAATTGCTACTGTACTACCAACTTATTTGTATGAGCATACATTTTTTTAAGCTTTTAAGTTTCTCAAATTTTATTAATCACATAAAATAATTAATCATTCGTAAAATAATTATAAAAAAAGAAGAGATTTATAAACAATATTATTAACATACAACGGTACCTACATACATATTCCTATATATATATGTTATAATATGTAAAATTGTATGTATTTGAAATGAAAAATCGATTTTTATTTTAAAACTCATAAATTAATTCTGGCATGGTACAGACAATGAAATGGATAAATAATTGAAAGTTTTATAGTTCATTGTGATTTTTACTCAAATAATAAGAAAATGGAGAACATTGAACCTAAATTAATTATGAGAAAATATGATTATTGTTATGTTACTGTTTTGGTAATAATAATTGGTTGTAATTGTTATTAAAAGGCAGCCTAATCACTATTACTTTGTGTAATATAAATGTGAAAAAACTTTAATTTAAAAATCTTTTATTAAACTTAACTTTATATTGAAAATAAACGTAAGCGTTGCATAACTTGGTAGACTCAATATTTATATTAAATCTGTTTATTGGGCGAGATCTGAGTCTTTTAGACCAAATGATTTATAAAAAATGTTGAGAAAAAAATTCAAAATTTTTAATTGTTTAAAACCTATGAATTGTGGATTTTTGAAATATATCCAAGATTCAAAAATTTTTAATCCGACATTTTATTTTGTAATGTTGATAATGTTTATGGTAGGTCTGAAACCTATTTTTTTTGTAATACATAGATCTAAAATTTTTAACAAAATCAAAAAATAATGTAATTTTACTTTTATTTAAACGTAAATCATACATTGAAATTTATTATTCGTTAAAGAAATGAGAGCAAGGAGAGCAAATGAATGTATTCCGTCTATGAGACAACCGATATTTGTATATATAACATAAAGTTGAACGTCCGTATTTAATTTTATATTATATGCAAATATAATTGTAGGCATTCCTAAGAATAAAACTCCTGCATATTATTATTAACCTGAAGACGCTTTATCTTCTACACCAAATTTTTTTTAAGTAGCAAATATTTGAAATTTTAAATTTATAGCAATTTAAATATTAGTTGTCACATATTTTTTAAGAATGACAATGACTTTTACTTATTATTTCAATTATAATTTAATGGTGTAGTAATAGGCAAAACTTAACCTTCCATTAAATTGTTAACAAATTTTTATTAATAATTTTTATTAATAACCAATACGTGAGTGTTCGATAATAAAAAATACTTTTGAATATTCCATATGTTAAAAATTGTGACCCCAAATTCCTGCGTTCTGCAATTTTTCTTCTTTTCTTATATTATTTCGTAAAATTTTTTTTCTCTGTGTTTAATTTTTAAATTAAAACTACATTTTTTCCTCCCTTAGTTTAATCTTCTTTACTCAATTTTTATCCACAATTTCCATAAATTATTTCTAAAAACAATTTCTCTCCTTTTCAAAAGATCCAAACAGCACCCATTATACTAAAGTATTTTCTTCTCAAACACAAAAATAATAACACCTTGTCGAAATCACAATTTTTACCTATTTGACAATAAATACCTAAATTTAATGAAGTCAAGAGGATGTAATTGACATTTAGATTTTATATAATTTTCAATTCGATTATGTTTACTCATATACATTTTTTATATAAATTTAAGCATCTATAAAAGGGGGCGCTTTATTTTGTTTTGATGTATAAAAAGAAACTTTTAAGGATTGAAGTAAAAACAACTCTTTCTATTCTGATTGAGAATATTTACTACGTCTTGTAATTTAAATTACATGAACGGAAATATTATGATTACAATACACATACAAAACACAAATTATTCATTTATTTAAAAAGGAATAGGAAAAACATTAAGTAATTGAGAAATTCGAAATCAAAATTACTTAGACTTTATAAGTTTTTAGTATTTATTAGCAGTTATTGAACAGTTTTATAAACAGTTAGTACATATATACAGTTAATCAAGTAAAATCGACATTTTTTATGAAGTTTAGATTTTATTTATGACACAATACAAGCATGTAATTATCCTTTTTCTTTCTTTCAAGAAGAATCAATCAAAGTCTTTATTTAGTTTTCAAGGAGCTACTTGACTCGATTTTTAAGTATTCTTTTAGAAATTAAAAAGAAAATCAGCAGTTAAACGAACCGATGAAAAAAAATTTGAAATAATGTAAAAAATCGAAGACTAAAAAGAAGAGACGTTGGTTTTAAAAGTAGTGCTTGAGTGATACTCGAAAATATTGAAATTGGCGTTTGCTGCAGCAAAAAACAACAATACTATACAGGAAAAGATCAAGGTAAATCCGTGTAACTCAAATAAAACTGGGTTCCTTTCATCGTTAATCTTTCGCTCATTTAAAATTAAAATGTCAATTCGTAATTCATAAATATTTATCCTGATGTATAAATACGTATATACATATATTTTCATTAAGTTATTCAAAATATTTTCATTTATTTGTTTGCTTGTTTATTGTGAATCTTAACAAAAAACTTCAAACAATAAGAGGAATTTTTCATTTTTTTCTAAGTTCCTGAATGAATTATTTTAGATCAGAATGGGTTATTATTTTCTATAAAAAGGATTTAAACGTATAATAAAGGGAAAAAATAAAGGATCGATGACATGGATACGAAAAGGATAACCATCATTATGAGGGTGAATATCAGTTTACATATTTCTTTTATGCACACAATTTATGTATTTTCTTACTTATTTGAGGAGCGAACAATTTTATTTACAATTCGAAGTTCACGATAACGTTGTGCAATAAAAACCTACCAAAATATTCGAGAAGTTGAAAAGTTTACGTACAACAACAAATTACAAAGAAACAGGTATCTTTTATCTTGTCAAAAAAAACTAGTTATAATAATGATTATAAACAGTGTCTAAAAGTTATTTAAGTTACTCAGTGTTAGCGAACTTTCTGATAGTGGATACTCTAAAAAATTCAGTAATGCTAACACCCCTATAAAATACTTTAAAAATGGAAACTTTACTTCAAATAATTAAAATTATTGGAATTGCCGTAGGTAAAACTGATATCCGATTCTCAATAATGTAAATGAGAGAATGTAAAAAAAAGTTAATTGCGTTAATAAATAAATTATTAAAAATCTTGTGGCCATAAAATTTTTATATTAAATTTAAAATTTTTTTCTCTTTTTCTCAAAATAATAGAAAAATATAAAATACAAAACTGTTTCTCTATATGCTCAAAACAAATAAAATATTTTGCGGTGATCATCACGAAGAACCAAATTTGCGGGTCGTTAACTAAACAATAGTTTAAAAAAACATTTAAAATAAAATTTGCACTTACCAGTATGTGTTCGCTTGTGAATTTTTAAGTTTTCACTTCTAGCAAAAACTTTTCCACATCCACTAAAAGGACATGCAAACGGTTTCTCACCAGTATGCACTCTAATATGATTAACTAATTTATATTTGGCTTTAAATGGTCTACCATTACGACTACAACCGATCCAATAGCATGCATGAGTTGTACATTCTGGCCCGCCAACATGTTCAACTGTTAGATGACTAACAATTTCATGCATTGAATTGAAAATTTTATTGCATGTTTTACGACCTTGTGGTCCCATCGGTTGATCCGGATCAACCCACAAGCATTGCATTTCTTGTTTAATTGCGGATGTTACAGCTGGTTGATGTCGCATATAGCGAAAAAATGCACCAGCACTTGGATTCATGGCGGACATTGCATGTGCTGCAGCAGCATGATGATGATGTACCGACGGGAAATGTGTTTGGTGATTTGCTGGATGTGCTGGATGATATGGATGTGCAGCATACGCATCTGCTGTTGCAATACTTGCCATACGCATTTGCTGATGATGGTGATGATGATGAAAGGCTGGATGCTGCCCAAATGCTGTCGATTGATCATGCATTGTTGGATAACCAGGAAATAACATTGAATCAGTACTAGTAGTTGCCGTTGGTGCAGCAACCGCTGCAACAGCCGAAGCTGAACCAGCTGCTGCCGATGTCATATAATCATTATCGCGACCACGTAACAAGAAATCCCTTGGTGAATATGAACCCAATTGTGTTGTCATGTGCCCCATATGCCCATAACCAGTATTTTGGTATGATGCTGAAGATGACATATCAGGTGTACCACCACCTAAACCCATTGCCGTAGACATCAAGCTGTTTTCCAAACTATCATGTGTTTGCTGTTGTTGTTGCTGTTGTTGCATTTGTTGTTGCTGTTGCTGCTGTTGCTGTTGTTGCTGGTGCTGCTGTTGTTGTGTTGTATTTGGAGACATACGTAATCCATATGACGCTAAATGATTTGTCGATGGATCAACAAATGCGTTCATCATCATTTTGCAAAATATTATTGATAATAGACTTCTTAATGGAAAAAATTACTTATATACAAACTAGAAATTTTGTTTATTTTAATTACTTTAATTCAATTAATTTTTGTCATTCTAAATTTAATTCAGAAAATGTTTCACTAATTTTAATTTTTAAATACTTTTCCTTTAATAAACTTTGAACACTTAACTTTTATATAAGACAATTGAATAATATTTTTAAAGATTTGAAATTATTCGCTTTCATTATTAATGCTTAAAATTAAGTTTGATTAGATGAATCTGAAATTTTTTTTTAATATGAACAAAATTATGAAATTCAATATGTTTTAGATTTCACATTATACTATATAAGTTTTATTAATTTAATATAATTTTAATATTTTACACCAGGAGGCGCGCTAAACGCGGTAATCACACGTTTTATTCAATATTCCTAATATATATTATTATTATTTTTATTACTTATTTTTAAAAAGATAATAATTTGTATAATTGAATTTTCTATTTTATATTTTTTAATAAGATTCGATCTAAATTAATTATTATTGATTAATTATTTTGATTTAGTTTGAACTTCTATTTGAAAAATATATTTTTGTTTTTTTTTTTTTATTTTTTCAAAAATTATAACAAATCAGCATGAACCGTACGATTCGAGTATCGCAGCAGGACTGAAAACTCCTGAATTTCCTCAACGGGTTCATACAATTTTTTCTTTCTTGTCTTTCTTATTATTTTTCATACTGTATTGTTATTATAGTTATTATTATTACAATATGTATACATTATTTAAAAACATAATATTTGTGAAATGCAAGAAAAAGAGAGAAATATACTTCCATGAGAAAGAACATGTAGAATAAAGAATGAAATGGCATTAACAAGAGCAATATAACACTATGTATATTGAATTTTACTTTATACGTATATAAGATTGTAGATTTACAATATTTTTAAATAAAAGGCAGGTATGTAAAAAAACACTCTCGAATAAAAGCAGTAAGAATAAAAGAGAACAAAATAGTAAAAAAATTTGTGAAAGAACGAATAGACAATATAAAACAACAACAATAAATATACTAAATTTAAAATATTCAATACTTGTATTATACCGTTTGCAGCCACTCCAGGGTTTTCGTCTAATATAAAAGCAAACAACAATTTTAAAACAAAGAAAAACAATTTTCTCTTTAAAAAGCCTCAGAAAATATTTATTGTTATAAATAAATTTTTAAGTGTGTGTGTAAGGAAAATTGTGTATACATATTTCTTAAATATTCTGCAAAGTTATCCATAACTAAATTTATGAATTAGTAAGTTAATACCATACTGATTAAAGAGTGAATGAATGCAGTATACTTTTTGCAGAAAATGAGAACGACATAAACACATTCCATTCTAGCAACATCCTTCCCAAATCTAATTTTTTATGCATTAGAGAGAGTCAACTAGTTTTTTATTCTTTTTTTTTCAAAAATATATTTTGAGTTAATGTTATTTACTCGGTTTTGCTATGTGCTCACATTAAATTATATACATCAAAGAAAGAATAATCCATTTCAATCCAATTGGATAATTGGATTTTGTTGAAATGCGCTAGAAAGGAACAAATATATAAAACAAAATTTTGATATATAATAATTATATAAATGAAATTCTCCATTTCCATTAACATCTCATTTTACCAATCGAATATTTACAGTTTAAAGCTCCTCCCAAATTTCTGTAAAGTAAGAATTATATTGAATAGGCGATAATTGGATAATAAGTAACTCTTTCTTTTTTAATTTTTTTATTTTGCAGATGAAGTTTTTTTATGTGGTCTCTTTCTAACATATTAAAAAAAAAAAAAACAAAAATTTTAATTTTCCTAGAGCCAATCAGTGAATTGCTTTGTAAACTTGTTTCAATATTAAATTAAAATGTGTATAATTTTGTAAATGACTACAATTAACAATTAAATTATAATTTATTTTGAACTAAACCGTTTGTGTAACGATAATTTAATATACGTACTATAATATTATACAAAAATATGAGAGTTAACAGGCAAGTAACACAACTGTATTTCAATATACTGCAACAATACAAGACAACAATATGAAAAAATTAAAAATTATGTAGTTTCTTTAATAGTTTCTTCACCAAATATAGAGGAAGATATTTATTAATTATGTTATTAACGTCAAGAAAGCAATGAATATTTATTTCAAAATTTATTTTGAAATAAATATTCATTGCTTTACTCGTACAATCATAAGTTACTCGTACAATCATAAATTACGAAAGTATTATGAAAGTCATAAATTATAAACTATTTTGAAAGTTCATTAGATTTTAAAATATTCACACAATCACCATTGTTAATTTAGTAAATTACAATCAAATAGTTTCCCTTTGTTTTCTTTTAATTATAGTTTCCGGAAAAATTATAAATTTTCTATTAAAGATTAATTTTTTATGAATATTAAATCATAATATATTTTTATTTATTTCAGTTAAAGTATTTTTTAAAATTAATATAATCAAAATAATAGTTAATAGTTTTTAATCAACTAGAATCTTGATTAACTCTAAGCTAATCAGAATTTTGTATTTTAAAATAGTTCATTATGTATCTTAATGGGCCGCTAGATGTTATGTGTTTATACATACAAATTTTAACAATACATTTCAGAATTAATGAGATATTTTCTTCCTTTACATCTTCTAACCTTTTCATGCAGTCTTTTTGAATGCTCTAATTAAAAAATGGCAAAATTGTTACATAATTTATATAAAATACATTTATAGTAATGTTAGAAGATTTCATTTCAACCATATGTACGCATTCATAGATTTAATTGGCTTTAAAGTGTTTATGGCACTGGTCGTTCAGCCTGAGGGTCCCGTTCTACCCCGGTCAGTTTACTATAAACATTTTATTAAGTATTACTTATATAACTTAATATCTAACACTATAAGTTAAAAAAATTAATACTAAAATAATTATATTGATAATATAACAATAATAAAACAAAACTAAATAATAAACGAAAAAAATGTCAATAACTTTCCATATACAATACAAAGAAAAAACTACGGTAGGCTAGTAATCCGCCTAGTTAATTCCTAATAACAAATCAAACAGAAGTATGATTTAATTATGACGTCATCCAACAGCCTTAGACACGACTTAGGAGTTAAAAAAGGAAAAAAAATACAAAAATTTGCTTCAATGGGAGAAGGAACAAAATAAATCCTGTCTATGATAAACAAATAGGATCAAATTCTGTCTATGACCTGTATATGGTAAACTTTTATCTGACACAATGTTTCTAAATCTCAGATTAGAAGTATTTTGTGTTCTCTTTTCACCGAACTATAAATTTTAGCGAAGCAAACTCCTTAATGTTAAGCAAACCCCCCGAAGTTATAAAAGTTTTCGTATTTCCTGATTAATTAAATTTTGATCCTGACATCAAAATTAAATTGATCATCTCTTAATGCAATTAAATTTGCTATTCTAAAAACTCTGAATATAGTAAAATATTTAAAAATATTTCGTTTACATTTGTAACATTTTATAAAAATATTTTTAAAGAATTCTATACACCAGTAAGGTTTATGACTCATAAAACAATTTCGTTTTGATTTTAAGATTTAACATTGAAAAACAAAAGCTAGGAAAATTTTACCTACCTCTTTGTTCTTTCAATCCTGTCATAAAATTTCATTGAACAGAAATAGACACAAACTCTTATAATTTACAACTTCCACGTAATATAAAATTGCCTATCTTTATGAACAGAACTTGACATATTAAAAATAAATATCCTAAATGTAAACATATTTCATATATCTTAGAAAATTTTTCCAACTGCATTCTTAAAGGTCATAAAACGGTTGACTTTTAAATATTTTTATAAATTTATTTTTGGGCTTCTTTTGTTTTAACTCATTTCACACACATTTTTTTTTTATATATGTACACAATTTTTTCATTACAATAAGGATACATGAAAATTTCTTTCAAAGAAAGTTCTGAACCTTTTAAAATATATGGGATTGACTTAAATTACGCCTACGAACCCACAAACAATTTTATAACTTATTTACAAAAAAGCAAAAAGATATATGAATAAAATAATTTTTTTTCTAAAACCTTCAAATTTTATCAAGGATAAACCCAAAAATAACTGTGTGCATTCATAAGGTATATCACACTGAGTATGTTTAAAAAATCAAATATCATTAAGAATGACTTTCCAAAAATAAAAATTATATTATTTAGCAATTCACATAAAACACAAACCGAGAGAAAGTTTCAAAACTTTTGAAGAGAAACAAATAGAAATCCTTCGTCCTTTTTAATAAAATTTTTTGTGATGATAATTGGAAACAAAAAAAGAATTTCAAAAAAAAAAATTTCGCAAAACATGATTTATGATTTAATTAGCAGACATCAGAATATTCCTTGGTCATAAATAGGTGTAGTTTAAGGATTAGTAAGTCAAATTTTTAGTTTACTGTACAAAGTTAAATATAATCCTGTTTAATAAGAGAGGAGGCATAAAATTATTTACTATCACGGTGCAAATCACTTGTTACATTCTTAATATCCGTTGTTTGTAAAATATTACCCGCTCTTTGGTATTTATAGAAAAAAAATAAGGTCTATTATATAAAATTAATTCCGTACTCTAAAATTTATAAATTATTTTTATAATTTCAAAATATTTGTTTTATTTTCATTTTTATTTCACGTTAGTTATGAAAATTTTGCAAGCGTTTAGAAATATTTGGTATTGTTTGACAAAAATTATTATTAAAAGATTTTGTCGTAAATCAAAACGAAATCCAAAAATTTATTTTTATTACAAAAACTGAATAAATAAATTTAATTTAAATATTTCAATTTAACAATTTAATTACGAGTATATGCTATTAAAAACAAACAAGATCATATTAGAGTAATGTCAAGGAACGAAAATACATTGTATCGAAACGATACACAATTATGCAATTAAACATTAGGTTTAGCTTTTGAGAATTCTTAAGTTTGAAATTTTAGGCATATCGCTGT